GTGTCTGTCCACATTAAATGTTGCTACATGAATTTTATTTTGGTTTGTGCTGGTCAGTTATAACCCCTGCTTTTAGTTAAGTACAAATGGAATTCTTTTCATTTTCCTAAAATGTCTCATGAAGTTGGTATGTGACAGAATACAAGTATCATTTATTTTGCACCATTTTCTATTTAGCGAATGAAATAAATTAATTTGTGATAAAATAAAGTCTGACTAAATTAAGAAAAACTGTAGTTAATAAATAAGAAAGTGACAAATGAGACAGAAAGAAAAAATATATAAAAAGAAAATGTTTTGACACTGCAGTATGATTGCCTTTCGAAAACATTTTTGTCTGAAATAAATGAAGGCTAGTGAGGTACGTAAATTCAGATTTATTTGTGTGAGTATTAAGTGAGGTACGTAAATTCAGATTTATTTTGGTATTTCTCTAATGGTGTTTGTGTCTGTTTTACTTTTAATATCACATCGCCAGACGATTTGGGGTGGATACATCCCATGTGGATTTGTTGGTTTATTTAATGAGTGGATCACTGTGAACTGGGGAGGAAATGGAAGCAATGGTGGTGTAATTTAAGGTTCTACTCCTGAATTTTCAAGAAAGGATTGTTGGAATCCATTAAATGAACTTGGTAGTTATTTCCAGTTTCTAGTGCCAACAACCGAACATGGGACTTTACATTTTTGAAGCTAGAATGCCACCTGGTACATTGCAGTGTCGGTAGTTTCACGAAGGGAGGGCATACACAGCATCAGCTGTATCAAATTTGTTTGCAGGGCCCATCTGAATGACCTGGAGAATATCCTGCCATTTATCGCGGTATCTTTCTTCTACGTGCTGAGTGACCCGTCGCAGTTTGTGGCGATTAACCTCTTCCGCGCCTTTACGGTTGCCAGAATATTGCACACTTTTGTATACGCAATTGTCGTCTTACCACAACCCAGTAGAGGCCTGGCATGCGGTGTGGGATATGTCATCACAATCTACATGGCTGTCCATGTACTCCTCAGCCATCTCTGATGAAATCGTCACTGTACCACTCAAGCTATGGTCCTGCTCACATGATCATCAATAATCTAAGTTTATCAAACAATTCTTGTTACACTAATCTTAGTTTAGAAAGTCTTGGGGAGTTTGATTTCTGAAGCCGTCTGCCCTGACTCAGGTCCTCATACTTTTCCTTTGTCCCTCCAGGCAAATGCCAGGACAGGACCATGCAATTCTCCACAGCCGTTTCCTTCCGCATCCCTTCATAGTCATTTTACTGTTGTCTTATGGTTTCAACTGTTAATGCTGTGTGTCAGGCAGAAATGGAAGAAAATACTTAATGAATGTAATTGTTGGTTTATTAATGTCACCGATGTCTTCTGATTCCTCGATCTCCATTCTTTATCCATCCACTGTCCATGTTCAGTGTCAGATTATATAAATTAGTAATATTCGTTTTGTGAACCTACTGCCAGAACTGTTTTTGTATGTGTCATCTCTCATTTCATGAGTCGGAAGTAGTCGCAGAAATAAGTGTCTGCAAATCGTGACTCGGCGTGTTTATACATCAGATGTAGTGGTAAAGCCATGGGCACATCATGCAAGCAGTAAACAGGTTAATAAAAGTACAAATTAAACATTTGTTTTCACAAATAATAAAATAATCTACAATAGATCACGTCCATTGAGAAGTTGTCTTATAAAAAAAACTTTGTCCGCAGTTTTCTATTCTTCCACAAGCACGCGTTTTTTGTCTGTCCTTTTTTTTAACTGTTTTAACTTTTGTATGAATTAGGGGATGGTAACTATTTGATTATTAACACTCGGTGTTAATTTTATAAATGCCCGGTCATTAATAATAATAATTTTTATATTTTGTTAAATTTAAGTTGGTTTGAGCAACAGAACAATGCATTTTACCCCTGGGGCACTGTTATTTCTTTCTGGGTACTTGTGGGTTATCGGGACACATCGATTTAAAAATGGGTTAGGTTAGGTTTGGTTAGTTGTCATTTATTGAAATAAAATATAATAACTTTCAAGTATATGTCATTTATCCACACACATTAACCTAACCTAGCCCAACCTAACCTAACCTATTTTTAAAGTGATGTGTCCCGATAACCCAGAAGTTCCTCTTTCTGTAATGTGTAATTTACTGAAGTAAGACCAGAAAATGTTCAATTGTAAGGAACTGGGCCCAATCCAAAATACTAAGGTAGAAAGATCGGTGCACAATGTCTGAACTTCAGTCTAATAATTATTTTAAAGTGTAGAAAATCACTTCCATCCATCCAGCATCTTCGTATCATGTGTAAGAAAGCGTAAACACCGATTTCTTAAGACTTTTTTTATGACTTGAGTAGAGTGGTATTTGTGGAAACAGTATGGGGGTACAAGTGGGCATTTTTCTTGTTTATTATGAGGTGTAATGGAGAATGTATAACACTGGGCACCGTGCTGACATTTTTATTGTCTAAATAATTGTTATGAAGGTGAAATATTATTTTATGGTTATTTTGTAAGTTTAAAATAAATTTTACTATAGTAAACAAAGCAAACATTTTTATGTAAAATATTTATTTAACCTTGTCCATGCGGGAATTTATTTAAAGAACCTTTTGTCATTTAATCACGGTCACATCTAATTTTTGCTGTTGGTAAGCCACGGGTAGTTTAACTGGTGATATGGAGGTAGGAGAAGTTTCTTAACGTTGATCTCAAACATCAAATAAACTCAGACCAAAAGTTTTATGTGCATCAGTTCCTTCATGGAACATTTAAATTACCCTCTGCTAATAAGTTATTCCTGGCAGAATAGGGATTTTTGTCTTTGAATGGCATAGTAAATACTGCATACTAAATGATGATGGCCGTCTTCTGGGTTGTTGCGCCGTGTAGTCTGGTAGAAGTTCAGAGGTCCTTGCTTCGTCCATCTTCAGGGCGATCGATGATAGATGCAGCAAGGACTTCTGAAACGGCCATCTTCAGACTCACAACCGTGAAAATCTCAAATCCTGAATACTAAATGTTTGTAATTTGAAGTTTTTATTTATTTTTTTAACCATGCCAAAGGCAGTACCATCAAATTCATGATTGATAAGGGAGACATGAGGAAAATAATGTGTTTTCTCAGATTTTTCAAACTCTCGTTGGTTTTGGTGTTGTTTTATTGAATATACAAATCTCATTGGTGCAGAGAGTGTCACATTAAGCAGCACAAACATGCATTAATCATTTTGTTTCTAAACATAATGGACAGTTCACAAATTAAAGTCTGATATAATTTTTTCTTTTTGTGGTTTTACTGAATATGTGACATCACACTTTTTCTAATTACATCTTAATTTATTTTGTGCGACATATTTTCACAAAATTGATGCCTGTAATAGAATGCCACCCAGAGCAACACACTTTATTTATTTGCAATTATTCATCGTACTGACAAATTAAATATAAACACTGATACATATCAATTTGAGCTTTATTTAAACGTTGGAAGGCAGGGGCTGTACGTACAGCCAACAACTCATTTTAGTGTAGACCTCACTCCCGATTTAAGATCTTTGGTTTTTCTGAGTTGAAACATGACGCAGATTGGCAGACGTGACTTCTACTTTGTATGTTTATTTTATGCATATCGTACAAAGAACATTTTAACAAGAACTCGTGAAAAAAGTGGTATTTGCTTTCCTTAAAGTCCTTTCGTCTGAATGGCGGTATTGCCAATGACTGTAAATTAATAATGACGCAGTTTATGACAAATTTTGGCACGTAGTTTTCACCAGCGCAGATGTCGGTTACATTAAATTTTCCATTTATAATTTCAGTGTTTTGCGCCACTTCAGTGTTCGTAATAACGTCAAGTACCATTCCATTTATTATATCTACATTGACTTCAAATGGCCATACAATACAATTCTAACCCACGAACCAAACTGTGATCAATATCAAATACTGTTATTCTATTAACATGAATTAGAGCCTGTCCTGTCAGACGCTTATATGACCTGACAAGTATTATGAATGATACACTTCTCATTTTCCATTCAAAATCTGCGTCGAAGTGTGTAGCGTTTCTGTAAAAATATTTCTCACGCGTAGCTCAATAGTTTCGTTAGTTATTGCCATCAGACAAAAAGTTAATAAATGTATTTGTGCTGAATTACTTTGATATTTCACATTCCACAGAAATATTATTTTAACATATGTTTAATATTTTTCAAAGGTCTCTTACCGTTGAAAATATTTAGGGTCCTGCTTACGTCAGTAGTACTTAATCGCCTTAGAAGTTCACATTGAAAACAACTTGACATTATTAATGGCATGTCTTCAAGTTGTGAATAACAAAGGTGCTGGATTATGGCTTTTAATATCCACTTAATAATCCAAATGGATGTGAGAACAAAATATTTTAATTGCTTGTGACTTACAATAGAGGACGTTATACCACGTGTAACAATAGAATTGCAAATATAAGGTCAGGAAGAAGATGAAAGATTAGTATGAATAAGAAATCATGTTTCTGGTTGTACAGGAACAAGTTAAACAGAGTTAGTTTCACCCGGATAACCTGCCTGAATCATAACTGCTTGACGAAGTTGGTGATTTAGCTTAAATTGTGATATTTGATGTAAGAAGAGTTCGCCAACAAATGTGAGAAAAGCGAAGCAGTGTCCAAGGAGGAGGAGATAGAAGGCTGGCTGAAGATATATCAAAAGGAATGTGGAATAGTTATCAAGAGGAGAAATTTTTCGAATTGACGCAGCTTTAATCCTGGAGGTGACTAACTCACTTTGCCACCAGTATTCTACCAGCCCGGCTTGCACTGCGACACTGATGGCACGGTTGAATCGGTACAGCAGCGGGCTTCCTTGAGGTAGATAGAAAGTTTTGAAACTGAGAATGACTTTATCACCAAAAGTACACAGAAGGGCTTCCCCATTGTCACCCAGGGTCTTATAAGTATTGAGATATTCAACCCTGTGATGGTTACTAATTGTCACGAAATCACCACGTTTTGCAACTCTCTGGGTACAAGCCTCAACGAAGTTACAAGGCTCGCTGTGTGTCACAATTTCTATTAGGTGTTTGTTCGATTCGTCCTGCAGACTTGCATTCAAATCTGGATGAAATCCATACTGAACTCCAGACCGCAAAATGTCGCCAATACTTTGTATCTGTTTTTGAAGTCCTGGATCAACGAGATAGCTAGTGACGAATGTCTGGAATAGAGTGTTGATCGCTACGCTGTACCACATCCAAAGGATGAAGAAGAACCTCACCGGTACAGAGCTGGGCGCTGAGCTTGGTGATACACCCAGAACCACTGCCCAGGTGCAGAACAGACACCCAGACAGAGTCTTGTACAATGTCAGTTCGTGGACCCCACACTTCGCTAGGCATGTCAATATGCCGGCAGCAAGGAGTATTGTCATGAAGATGAGAAGCCAGGCTGTCAGGGAGAACACTCTTGTGATGCTTTTCCATCGAGGGAATGGTTTAGCGCATGGCACTACCCACATGAAGCCCAGAGGACCGTGACTTACAGTGAAGTCCATGTCCAATGTCTCGTTCTGAGACAGTATAGTACCGGCAAATGCAATGTCAGCCGTGTCCAACATTAATTCCTTGTATATCCCTGTCCAGGAACCATTTTCAAGCTTTTCACCCCACAGTTCAGAAGGAGGATGTCTGTACACAATCGACATGTTCATTGTCCTCGCTGCAAATTCCAGAAGACGGATTTCAAAACCGCCTTCGTACGCCATGTTTTCTTCATGCCCAGGAATGGTAAATGGCGGGAAGGGAAATGTAGACACAGCCAGAGGACACCCCCCGAGGTCTCTTGGGGTTTCTGTCGAAGTATCCGCCTTTGTGCATAACCCATTGGTCCATGAGGACCACGGCTTGTATCTGCCCGCATTTTCCTGTTTTGGAATTGTATGGGGACCAAGAGTAAATGTCTCGTGTATGCTGTTTTCTACTGGCAGCAACAAATATTACCGCGTTCGTAACCTTGCTGTATTTCAGCTCTTTCAGGATGACACGAGCTTGTTGTTGAGGATTTGGAAGAATTGTGTTCAGTACAACCAAGAATCGGCCTCTGGGATTCCAGGCTTTGCCAAATGACTTAAGATCTTGTATGTGTTTGCTGACCGTGCTAGACGTCCAGAGGATGTAATTGTGCCACTTGGGATAATGACGCTGATTTGCAGTGCCTCGTGCCATGACAATCGGCCATTTCAGAGTTTCGTGGAGATGTAACAAGAATGTGGCGTCACATGCGCTGGTATTTTGGGCCTCTAGGTCGTGCCTTGTGGCTTTTTCTGATGGTGAACAGACTTGTAGACGTCCCATAAATGGTAATTGTTTATCACAAGACACTGATATTACGACAGTAGATCCGGCCTCGAAGTATCTATCGCAAATGTTTGTAATACATTTCAGTTGTTGACTCTGCGTGTCAGTCTCGACACCATTTATGTCTGTCAGTGACTGGCTCTGCAGATGGGACTCAACAGTTCTTAATGCAATAACAAGCAACAACAACATCGAATCCAAATAAAATGAATCTTGTTTGTAATGTGTGGTTGTACCTACAACATGAAGTCCGCTGGCCGAATTTCATTCGGTCAATAGCAGTATTTTTTTTTCTCGTATTACGATTTCTCAATTGTTTTTAAAACTCATTATGCCACCGTCGTTCCGCGCCGGCTGTGATGAATTGTGCAGTTTTCTTATTGACTGATAGATGTAGTAACCATGAACGTAAGTTTTTAATAATTCTGATACATCAATTTTTAAAAGTTTTATTTAATTTGTAATCATAATCTTCTAAGGAGCATTCCACTGGGTTTACTGACTCTCTGGTAATAAAATTCGAAGATTTAGCACCAAAATCAATCATTGGAAATTGTCCTGCTTAAGTACAGTCTGATTTACATATTTATAGCCTACTTAAAAGCGGTTTTAGTTTTCATTTAAGCTTAATTAATTGGCTGATTCGTTCGTTATCCACTGTCTTGCCTTCTTCTGTCTAGTGAATTACACAGGATTTTAATTCAGCCTCGGTTGGTCAATGACCAACATAATACTCATGAAATGAAACAGAATAATCTCTTAAATCACAGCTGACGTTTTGAAGTAGTTTATAATATCGAGTTTAACTGCATCACAAGTATTTTGCACGTTTTAGCGGATATCTTAAAACTAGTTTTACCTATGGTTTGTTCTTGTCACCACGAATCCCACTTACTACGAAAGTCGTCCAATATGCTGTGTCTTCAGAAATCCTAAACAGTCGTAGTCATTGGTGCGTTATGTCAGCACGACAGATGGCCACAGTTAAGGGCGACATCGTATTATTGAGGCCTTCCTTTCTTATTAATAATCACCTGCAATGTGAATACTTTGGTCGTATTCCACATACAACGTACAAAATACGCTTCATATAACATTTGTATGTCCGTTTACGGTATTATTTATTTATTATTTGTAAGCAGTCTAGTACCGATTATCCTTGTCAGTAATTTTACCTGCAAATAGGCCACGACTGTCTTCTTAAAGTCATTCCTTGTCTTATTCTTCTTCCCATTTCAATCAATTCTAGGCCTATGTGATCTGTGTAGTTGAAACGGCGTCTTTAAATAACCTAAGAAGCAATTATTTTATTAGCAGAAAATCAGAAATCAGGTGCACGAGTGTCCCAAGGGCTGTGAAGTTCAAGCTCGCCCTTTCCTTAATCGTACGTCACAAACGCGACTTAGGGGCGCTGAGGTTAAGTTCCAGGCATTGGTGTGACTTGTATAGGCATTATTTCGTACCTAATTTTGTTAAAATTCTTTCATACGTTACTGTGGCCACACTCGTAGTCTCATAATACTGTCTTGCCCTTCAGAAACATACCAGGAAAAAGTGCAGAATTATTTTTTTTTTTGCAAAGATGGCTGCATTGTCAGTGCAATTAATCAATTTGATTAATGCTGTGTAATCTCCTAGACACGAACTATGACGTTACATTTATTTGTGCTCGAAACTTGTTTGTACAAGTGAAAGTTCTCTGTTTTCTTCAGTTCCCCCCATTACGAATTATAAGCGACTCAAATATGGGCTGCCCCCGTTACTAGTTGTAATAATTAACCCTTTCCATGCTGGCATTTTATTTAGACAATATTCTTCTGTCAAGTTATTGCTGTGATTCGTACAATTTATTATTTAAAAGCCGTAAGGATTTTCAAGTATTGGAAGACGACAGGGAATTTCGAAGTAATTATAACCTGTAACGACCATTGTTTTTAGCGATATATTTCGTTATTAATTTTCTGTAATGGCGAATGCTGGGATAGTGCCTTGAAATAAGCCTTCATTAATTTCTTTCTTATATAATCTTTTATCATTTTTATCCGATGTTATACAATCGACATATTAGAGGCCTTAACCTCTGCAGTTTAAACAGCGTTGTTAAATAACCAACAATCAGCTGGTTAAGGTGGGAAAACATAACTGAAAGTTATGCTCTGATATTTGAATGGGAAAGTATAACTTGATTCAATTTGTTATCAACAGGAGCGTTCATGTTAACCGTGTTAGCCGTTTTAGTCCGGCTAACACTGAGGAAATTGAAAAATAAAATCTTCTGTATATTTGCTGTCGTGGTTCATTTGTACTGGAACAGTGGAACACAGAAGAACCGATCAGATAAAACCATCGTTAGCCAGCTGCAGCCAAGCGTTATGTCTCAACCCGCAATCTGAGAACCTCTGCTATTTGTTCAGATCACTAAATGTATATAACGAGTTGTAATATCACCCAGCGTTTTGTAAATTGTCTGAATACAGAAACTGCTTTCGTGAGGATTATGACTACTGCTCCCTGATTGTTACTAAAGTAGATTCCATTTGGAATCGAATTATATACAGAGTGTCGCAAAATCTCTACCATTTCGCGCGTCGTGCATATTTCAGTTGTTTACTGCAGCAAGTGATAATTCATGACGCAAGCTCGAGAGTTACTGAAATAATATTTAAAAAGGGTGTCCATGAAATTCTTATCAAAATGATAACATTAAAGTTTGCGTTGCGTAATCGTTTATCGTATAATAAACAGTCCCCTCTGGTTTCCTGATACACTCCTTTATCAGTAATGAATTAACAGTATTGTTACTGTAGGAAACGTGGTAGACAAAAAGAGATGGGCTTAAGTTGTAGGCTGAGCGTACGTACTCTTGGCCCCTGAAGAAGGTCTCCGTCCCTGACGATCGAAAGAGTTGTAATTCGTGCCACACGCTGAATTGTACAGTCGCGTGAGCCATTATGGGCCTTCGTGATTATACATTTATTGAATTACAAAGAAGACAATAACACTTCAGCGCGCTGTGTGTGGACAAGCCTCAAGACGTTTCCGTACCAACAAAATAGTGCTATAAATTTATCTAACAACATTCCCAGCCCATCTCAGTTGCATTGATATCCTGACAGTTCTAGGTGGTCTCTATAAATTTGGAGATTTCGCGTTATGTAATATGAATTTACCCCTTAATTTGTCTTAGGTAGTCTAGCGGTGGTCTAGCGGTTAGAACGCTGGCCTTGTAATCGTGGGGTCTCGGGTTCGAATTTATAACTTGTGGTGGTCTAGGCAACACGGAGTTTTTCTCCGTGGCATCCCAACAATTACTCCATTCACACACAGAAGAAGGCAATTGCAAACCACTTCTGGATCATCTGCCAAGAACGTATATGAACAGGTCCCAGTCCGAGAAAAGGATGGAAGGATCCTGTTCATATGGACCTGTCGTCAGACAGAACACTAGATAAATAATAAAAAATTGGAACGATAATAACAAACCGAACCTGCATTCATGTCAGAGATAAGAGTGAATTTCTTGCTACTGTGCTTTTCAGAATAGTTATCTTCCGGTATCCTATCAAGACGCCAAAACATACAAAACTGTGATTTTTATGGGTGTTTGGAGTTCAATGTAAAATTTCGGCTTTTGTGGATGAGCCGAGTTGAAAGTTCAAAATTACCCAACGTTTCTGCTAACATTGCAGTTGCCATCTTCAGTGAGAATGTTTTATGGTCGGGCATTTTTGGGAGTTATATATAGGACAGGCATCAGAAAAAGATTTGGCAGCTGCACCAATCAGCACCATGAAAATTCATTTCTCCACTTATTGCCTGCCCCGTATAAGGCATCCAAAAACACCCAACAATTACATATTCGCGCTGAAGATGGCAACTGCATTGTTTGTCGAAACGTTAGATACTTTTAAATATTCGACGCGATTGATTCTCGATAGTTGAAGTTGTGCTTTACTCTTTCGTCTGGTTGAGCAGCTGAATTCGACCTTGTCAGTTTGGGTGACCCATATTTTGTAATCGAGAAACTGTCAGCCTGACCTCTCCAACTTGTTTTGCTGTCAGTGAAAATCGCGCTTTGATTTAGCTAGAGGAAGGGGCATCAAAGGTCGTGCTTGTGAGGAGTAAAGAGGTTTTAGTGGCCGTGGGGTTATCAGCGCTGTTCTGATCCCTTCCAGTTCACTCTGTATGCACCGCCATCTTGCGGGAATCGACAGGTCGATTGTGTAAAGACAGATTTATTATTAATTTTTATTATACTTGTTTATCTCTTGGACTCGAACCCGCGCCCAATATCATATTCAGTTTTAATGTCGGCTGTATTCCCACTTCGTATGAAATAAACCAGAAAATTAAAATAATCTGTATAAAAATAATTTTGGAATGCAGATCGTTGAAGACTTCGTAACAA